GGGGTTGGAAACTTTGAGGTTGGATCTTTGAGGTCCCTTCCAACCCAAACCATTCTATGATTCTATGAAATAGAGCCAACCAGTAACTGATAACAGGCAAAAAACAGTGTTATGTGGTCTTTCATCAAACCACTCTGATGTAAGGTGATTTTCCTTCTGAGGAGCAAGCATGGGACCAAGGATTGAATACCATAAGAGAGCTGTGGTGTGTATGCTATTGAGAGTGTAGGTAAAATGTAACCCAGAAACATGCAGATGTTACCAGGAATCAAAGCTGGTCTGATCATGGGCTGCATTTTCTTGGATAAAGCCCCTGTCTCTGACCATACAGCCTCTGCTTCTGTGTGCACTTGCAACACACTTACCATTTGTGCATGCAATGGACCAATGCATGCTTGTAATATTCCACTCACAGATGTGTTTTGGATGTGTACGTATACAAACAGAAGTCAGGCTGGGTATCTATGATTTCAGCACTGCTCTAAAAATGTTATTTCTTTCATATCAAATCAGGTTGGGTTTCTTATTTATGAACTTCTATTTCAAAAGTGCAACTGGCCAGAAATCTGAATTTCATGTTGAAAGTTCCTATACTCTCACATGTTTATTGTGTGCTCGCCAGGGGTGAGTTTTCTGGCATAGAAAGTTCTGAAAATTTTTAATTCTAGGATGTCTGTTTTATTTTTATTTCTATGTTAAGATGTAATTCAGTGCCCTGACATGCTGTTCTTTTCAACTGCTGTAGTAAAGACCCTCTGTTCTCACCCTTTCATCTTTTATGGCCCGTGCTTCTTAGGTGAGCAACAGATCCGTTGAGAGCTTGCAGAGGGTTTGGATTGATGTTGACTTCTACTAAAATAAAATCACTTAATTTTAAGTTTTCTAATGGAAAAATTGGAGGATGATTTCTCATCCTCCTACTTTTCCTGTGGGGAACTATATAATAGGGTGGGGTTTTTTAGTTTGTTTGTTTTGTTGTTTGTGGAGGAGGGTTGTTTGCTTGGGTTTTGGTTCTTTTGAAAAACAGTTCCTTTCTTCAAAACAAAAAAACAAAGAAAATCCCTCACCAGCTCTGTATTATTCTGTATTATATTAATGACTGAACTGTGCTTTAAGCTACTAGGGCAGGCAAGTGGGGAGCAGGCAGCACCTCTAGATGTTTCAGGAGATTTTTACCACAGGTAATAGTGACAGCGTTAAGGGAAGGTTCAAATAAGCAGTATTCAGAGATACAAGAAAGTATTCGATTCTAGTTAGATGGCAAGTTCCTTGAATTTCGGGAACAAAAGTGTAGGAAACGTGAGGAACATGTACTCCTGCCAAAATACAGGTGTCCTTTTTTTTTTTTAATATTGGTGCCTGTTTTGAGTAGGTGAGATGATGACTATTGCTTTTTCTAAAACTAAAATAGCAGCTTGGGAGAACATCTGAACCTTTCTGACTCACTGGTGCAAATTTCTTTCAAAAGTATTTTTCTGTCCATTTTAGAAGTGGCTGGGATTGCCATGTGTGCTCACTGAATGGATTATCGCTAACACCAATAAATGCTCTTTTCTTTGTATTTGTATTAAACTTATGCTGGATTCTCTTGTATTGTTTTAGGGTCTGTCTGTATTAGTATTTCTTCACTTAACGCTGTATTCTCCTCCCTCATAGACTGCACTGTTTCCTCCTTTTGTTTTTATGTAAGTAAAATTTTTTTGTCTCAACAATACTTTGCTGATAATAGGTTAAACACAAATATTTATAACACTGAACAATGTGTGGAGTTTCTGGCATGGATGGTTCTGCCTTCTGGGGTAAAAGCATGTGATAAAGGGGGAAAAAATCCCCAAACCCAACAGTTTAAGATAATTCTTATTTTTTGTTTGCTGTGTCATATCTGTATTAGGAGAACAGTATCCAAAAGTTGGAGATAAGAAAGTAGAGAATTTGTCCCCAAGACCATGAACTGAAGCTGTGCTGTAGTTCAGTAGAGCCAAATAAGAGAAATTAAAGCAGTTTTTAAAAGGCAATTGTGGAAACCACTGGTTTAAGTACTAAACTGTAATACTTAATGTGACTATTCCAGGTGGGACTGAGATGTTTTTTTCTCTAATAAATCCTTTCTTGTAGATCCTCAAATTAATCTGCCCTACTAATATGTTGCATAGTGTTCTTGGAGAACTCAAACTGCTTGAAAATAGCTGAAAGTTTGGATCATGCTTCTTTTCTGCCCCTCATGATTGCCAAGTAGCGAGGTGGCAAGTAGGGTACGGTGCTGTGAGATGTGACTCCCTTTGAGTGGCAGCAGGGTGAAGTGACCTTTGTGTCTCTGACCCTGGGCTGCCATAGTGGATGAGGTGGCCTGTACTCAGGCTGTGAAAGCTGCAGGAGCAGCAGCTAGGATCTGGAAGAAGTAGATGCATGTCTCTTTTTCTCTTTGGGAGCTTCAGCATCAGCAGCCCACACCCAGAAGTGCTTGCTGCGGTGTGTGAGCCTTTGCACTCGCCTTCAGCTCCCAGCACTGCTGAGTCCTGGGTAGTAAACTGGCTATATAGCAACCTGATTGCTCTTCGTCAAAAGTCAGTAATGACTTACATGTCTTTATCTCATTCTTATGTTTGTATCCCATGTTTGTTCCATGTTTCACATACATTTTTATTGCATGTGAAGTGTTTAATACCAAAATGTGTGCCAAAGTTATTTGTGAGGAAGTATCTGCTCCTTCCTGTTTGAGGAAAATAGTAAAGTACTCAGGTAAGCACAGGAGATAATCCTTGGTGTAAGAGAGAGGTTTTTGTATCTCCACTGAAGCAAAGTAATGCTTCTTTTAATTAAGAGGAATGACTAGACCTGTCTCGTGGATAAGAAGGAAATTAGTTTGGATATAAAGATTAAACTGTGTGGATCCCCAGCAGGACTTCAGACAGAGCACTGGCTAATGCCCTGAAGAGGTTCTTTTGTTCTTTAATACGTGCAAACATATGTGTAGGGATGCAGCTAGGTGAAATATTGGGTGTCAGAAAAACCTGTGGAAAGTCTGTTTAAATAAGAAAGAATATTTTGTTTTGGTTTTCCTCAAGACCTTTTTTCCCCACATATAATTTTACAAACTTTTGACAAGATGTTCTTAATTTTTAGATGTTGTGGAAGAAACCACTTTTTGTTTGCATTTGATCTTACGTCTTAAGCCAGATTTACTGGAAAATGGGGTCTCTTACCCAAAAAAAAGTTACCAATCTGAGCTGAGTTAGTTAATAGGAATCATACATCGTAGCATGTTCTCCGGGGTACCTAGAGAGGGGTGATGGAGCACAGAGCGTAAATGTCAGCCCTGCCACCCTGCTCTTTCTGACATGGCAGGAGTCGGGAGATGTTCCTATGTACAGGCACTATGAAGACTCTGCAGCAAGATACAAAGAGTACTTGAAACCTAAGGGCTCCGAGGGAGTTTCCTGTATCTTCCACAAGGCTAGCAAAGGTGGAGACAGAAATTTAAAATTTAATATTGTGTGCAGTATGTACAACTACAACATTTTCCTCCGCTATGGATCTCAAGGGAAGTACTGTACCTCTCATTAATAAAAACGCCAGAAGGACCATACAGGGCAGTCAACAAGAAGAGAAGCTGCAGCGATGGGTTTCGCCACTTCATCCAGATACATCCTTAACGAAGTTCTCAAACTAGTCTCCATCCTCTTGACTTATGCATAGCAAGGCACGGGACTTTTTCTTTGAGCTTGGGGAAGTCTTTTAGGGAAGTATAAAGTCTTGATATAAAACTAGTGGAGAATACCCCATTCCTGTGCGCTGCCTCACTGTTAGAAATGTGTGCTTTACTTCTAGTCTGACTGCATCTATCATTACCTCACAGCCAACGGATTTGGCTTCTGTACTTTAGTTTTCCAGATTGCAAATCACCCCTTCATTAGGTCTAGACATGAGACAGTTCTCTGAGGTCACTTATTTGAAACCTGTTTTCTCATGACCTAAATACTGTCAGGTTTCTTGGTGGTTTTGAATCTTGGGCACTGGCACTGCACAGTATTCCAGTAGCAGCAACTCTGGTATATTAAGATACTATAGCCTCATTATTTTCACTGGAGATTTTCCTATTTACAGGTTCAGGGATGCATTTTTTGCTTTTGGCAAGATTGTGGCTTTGAATATTCATGTGCAGCTGTTTATCCACCTATCTTTTTGGAGTCTGTACTTCTAGGACAGTGACTGTGTCGTTCCTACAGACACTGAGACACTAGGTAACCTGTGCTCAGCTTAACATCAAAGTGACCCTCCTCTAATTCTTCAGTATCTTCCCACTTGCTGTTCTGCATATTTTCTAATCATCTGCAAGCTTTAACAGTAATTTTAGTAACTTACTGTTTACTAAATAGTAATCTCAATTACTTATTGAGTAAATAGGGAAATGGTGCATCACATCTTTGGAAGGGCTCCAGCAATATGGAAAGCAATAAAACAGTATTCTGTTTCTACCTAACAGGATACATTTAAGATCCGAACTCAGAGAGCTTTTTTGGATGTTTACCTTGCTGATGGCAGCAATATTAGACTTGATATCCAGACATCGGACACTGCAGAAAGAATATTAGAGGTAATGGGTTTCTAGAATTGTGTTGAAATTTTCCATTTGTGAGAAGTGGGCAAAAATGAAGAAAATATCAATCAAGAAAAGATAAAACTCTCTATTAAGACATACAAGAATATCTTCTGTGTTTTTCTGAGGGGTTTATTTTACCAGGGGGTGGGGGATGTTGCTGATTTTGCAGATGAGCTTTTATGGTTCTTACGTTTGTTCCTAATTTACCTCTTCTTAATGTTACTCACCCTCTGCTTCTATGGCATTTGGCTGTCAAGTTCAGGTTTCCTTAATACGTGATAAAATCAGAAAACATATACTATTCCTTATGGGAACACATTCTTAACTAACACCCCTGCTTTGGTTTAGCATAGCATGGGTGAAAGTGCTTGAACACTGTAGTCGAAAACCGACGGTCTAGTCTTGGCTTATGTCTTAGCTGGTGCACTGCTGTTAAAATGTACTGTGCAACTGATATGTCTTGTTTTTCTGCATGCTTCTCCTTCACTTGTTCTGTGTCCCCTGATGTTTGCGGTTTTGGCATGGTTCTAGCACTGTGGTTCTGCACTGTCAGTAACAGCTGGTGTAATACATACAGTAAACAATTGCTAGTTACATTTTGAAACCAGTAGCAACCAAATGTTGTTTACGCAACTGGCCGGCTTGTGTTTGAAACTTTAGCTAGGGTTCTCTCCTTATGCCAGGAGAGGAAGAGCAGCAGCAGCAGCTCTGCATATTTTGTGTGTTTGCACACGTGTGTGCATGAGCAAGGCTGAAGCCTCTTCCTCAGTTGCTCCCATTTTCTAATCTTAACAGCAATAACAAAGCATACACCTGCCAGCTGGGTACTCTTCTTTGTCACGGGAATCTGAAATTTCCTCTCATCATATATGAAACTATGTGCTGTATTTCTGTTGTGCCTTTACAATCTGAGTTTGTGGAGGTAGTTCTCAGCTGGCCATACATACAAGCGAATCCACCCTGCTCTGTCAAGCTGATGTGTGTTAGTCTGGCCATAGAACACACAGCATCCCTGTGCAGTTCCCATGAGTTGGATAACACAGGGTAACCCCTTGCTAGCTTTGTTCTGCCATGGGGTTTGCACTACCTGAGGCAATGCTGGGACCAGTTCTTCCAGGGGAAGGTAAGTGTCAGAGTTACCCTTGTTTGGTCTCCCTGCAACAGGAGACTTGCAAGGTGGGAGATGCTGAAGGTAAAAAGTGTTGGGGGTGGCAGGGAGATAGAAATTTTGATTTGAGGAGAGAGAAGTAGGTGCTAATAGGGGTGGAAGAAGTAAGGAGACATTTTTAGATAGGAAACTTGCATCGGGACCTTGAGTAAGGAAAGGATTTGCTAATATACTTTATCAAACCCAAATTTTTAATATTTTTTAAACTTGTTAGTTTTGCAGTGGGTCAAGGTAATTTCCAAGCCAGACAGTGGTGTTATATGTTGCTTCATATATTGCATTTATAAATGTTTAATGTTTATGTGGCATTTCAATGAAACAATGGCATTTCAAATGCTGCAGACTCTTATCTCATCTTTAAGACCACAAGAGAAGAAATGGACTTTTAGGAATTATTTAGCTTTCATTGTTGTAAATGTGCTACCACATTCACTGTTCTTTTGCAGTGGAGGTAGATTTTACAACTGTCACTCCCTAACATCCTGGTGTTCAGGCAGCATATACGAGCTTGTGCTTTGATCCAAGAAATAAAATAAGTCAAAGTCCCACTGAATGAAATCTGTGTTTGACATTCCTGGGAAATGCCATCTAGTACACTTAGTATTATGCTACTAAGGGATAACACCTTGGAGTTCTGGTTAATTTCTTAAAGTAATTTGTGGGGACTTCTTAGCACAGAGGCAGACAGAATGAAAGATGGTGCTGCTAATATTAACTTTTTGTCTTTTGTGTTTGGACTTCTGAAACTTTCTTCCATTATACCTGGTGTCTGGACTGAGTGTGAGGCAAGTCATTTTTATGTTCTGCTACCCTCTCCGGTAACAGCCCTGATATTAACACGTGTAAGGAAAACCTCATGAGTATGTTCTTTAATTTTTAACTTGGAACAGTTCTTCCCAACCTATATTTAGCTTGGTGTCTACTTTTCCTCCATGCACAAAAACATCTGCTTTTTAAACCAGCTGATACAGCTGGAGAAAACCCTTCTGAACTGTGGAGATGAATGAATTTACAATGCTGTCACTGTGATACAGAGCTGGAAGTGTTTTGGGATTGGCACTCCTTTGTAAGAAGACTGAAAACCAGTACTTCCACCTTGTGCTCAAAGTCCAGCTTCTCTGACCAAAGCATGATTCCTCTATCAGGTTGCACAACCTGCCAGATGAGCTATGACAGGAGCGCTCTCAGGGGTGGAGAGTTTTCTTATGGTTGCCACAACACTTTCCTGAGCAAACTCAGGAGATTATGGTCGTTGTAGAATTTAGGAATGCTCTGATGGCACTGTGCTCTTTTAGTTTATGGCTGCTTTAACTTATGCTTTGATTTTTCAGGACCTAAAATAGAACAGGACAAT